CAACAACAACAAACAAACAAACCCAGAGACAAACTTGGGTTGCCTCTCAAAAGTGCTTAGTTTAACACGTCTTCAACCTGAAGAAACAAGATATTTACTTAGGATGACCCAACATTAAAACCTATTTATCAATGTCTCTCAACACCTAGATAAGGTTTAAGTATCAGCCCATTCACTTTGAACACTTTACCACTCTTAAGATCTTTAATATCAATTGCACCAATAAGATAAACCTTTATTACAGTAAATGATCCTAACCACCTGGACTTAATTTTTCTAGAAAATAATTTCAATTGTTTATTATACAATAAAACCTCATGTTCAAACTTCAAATATTTCCTAATAACTTCTGATCATGTCATTTTTTCTTTTTTTCTTTTTATTTTTTTGTGTTTTCATTAGATTCAAAATAATTTTTGATGGGCGTAAATTAGTAATTCTAGAGAGACACGCTAAAACCTCTAATTTGATCCAGAAGTTAGGAAGTTGTTAGCCTCTAGGCAGATGGACAGTAGGAACTCTAGAGTGAGAGCTAGTATCTTCTTAGCCTATCCAAAGATTTAAGAACTTGACTCTTGATTAGCCAATGCCCTTTATGCAAGTAGAAGAGGTTAAAGAATAGGTATGCTCATATTTAACACAATATAATTTAAAAGAATTTGACTTATTCATTGATCATAATCTCATTGCAAGGAGAATTATACTTTATAAAATTTGAACTCTTCTTCATAAAACTTAGTATAGTGATATTAAAATTTACTTTGAGTTTAGAGATAATAGTAGTAGATATAACTCACATAGTTTAAAAAGACAAATTTCGACTTGCATTCTTAGTTAAATTTTCTGCAGTTTAGATAGAGTTTCTTTGAGTTAATATTATAAGATTTTCAAATACCGCTGTCGGATCAATATTAGAATTCTATTAGAGCCCAATAATACTCGTTGGATATGTATACTTGCATTATCTTCCTAGCAAATATTTAAAATAGATAAAGGTTACCATAAATTGTTAAGAGTGGAAGCTATAAAGATTTAAAGAAATATTAACTATCCTGAAGTACATTATTGTTGTGGCTGCCAAAACACCCGCCTAAACAGCCCTTCATCAGTGTAAGCTTGAACATTCTACAACGATGTAACTTGTATATGGGTTGTCCTGGACCAAGCATTTGCTTTCCCAAAGGTGGTGTGTCGTTTGGAAACCTCATCAACTCAATTGCTTACACGGCTCAGTAAAATCGTTGCAGTAATGCCCAAATTCGATGCTTCAAATCTTGCCTCATTCGGACTCTTCTGACTAACTGCTGACCAAGCAGCACTTTTCTGTTCTAATCCAACAATGAATTCAAAACTTCTGCAGAGATATTTGTTTGAGGCATTAGCTCTACCATTGGAAGGGCATTCTTCTTGATTATTATTCTCTTGCATATGGATATCTCCCTCATCCACACTTATAGTCAAGATTACATTCCTACTTTCATCTCCAACATTAATTGGTTCATAAGATTACTAATCCTTCTTAGATGATTCACCCTGGTCATTCAAATCCTCCTTGGGCTACTTAGAATGACTTCTGCCATGCTGTTTAAGTGGAGAATGAGAGTAGTGTCAAACTTGGCTGTTTTTCAGCCGCAAGTTTACCACTTTCAAGATCCTTTGCAGGATTCTGGAAAGTAATTGTTGATTCAAATTGTACTAGTGAATGAATTAGTATTATTTCTTCATCTCTTAACTCTTCCAAATGCAAGTAATCATTATTCCTTTGTAACTACCAAGCTGATTGAATGCAGGTCAACTGGATGTTTTTCCTATGTTGATTTGGCTGTTAGCATAACTTGAGACCATGTTCAAATAAACTATACATAATATCTCAAATCCATAATTCGTTGATTTCAAAAGATGACTTCAGCAGTGTTTTTTACATACATGTCACTTCACCTTTGCATTTCCATGTGTATTCTGTATTTTTAAGAAGTTAAAACGGTGGAGTTCTTGATGTGACAAGAATGATTTGGGTGGTATAAATGTAAAAATTAACATTTAGGTGTTATACATGTAAATACGTAGAAATTTGGTGGTATGCATGTAAATGACCCCGACTATTAAATTTGCAAATCCTCTCTTTGAGCTGTGCTTCAAGTTTATGTTTGTTTCTTTCCTAACTTCAAAATGGTGAGATGAACTATATTCCGTTGCATGCAGTCCAATAGATCCTTCTTCTATTGCTACAGGAGTTAAACGATGGAGGATCTTTTTGGAAAGTTGGCTCTCAAAATTCAAGTTTATAACTCCATATCTATCGGTAATAGAATTAACTTCATCTACTTTATAACTCCATGTAAAGACGATAGAGGCTCATCTTCTCATAAGATTAAAGTTTATGCAAATAGCTTTACATTGTTTTTGTTTATAACTCCATGTAGAGACGATAGAGGCTCATCTTCTCATACGATTAAAGTTTATGCAAATAGCTTTACATTGTTTTTTGGAAGTGTTTTGCTTTACTCTCCAATTTATATGGGAGGGAGGATGTTCTGTATTTTCATTCTGTAAATGTAAAAATTATTTACTAAATCATAAAAATGTGATTTTAATCTTTTTGGGTTGTCTAAATGAAAATTATCTTTTTATCTATTTGTTTTGAATAGTCTATTTCATTTTGTAAAAATTAAAATAGTGGTATTATTAATGATATGAAAGATTTGGGTGGTATGAATGCAAAAAAGCAAAGCTTAGGTGTTCTATAAGGACATTGGCCCTTTGATAGCTCCAAGAATTTTTAAACGGACAAGTTCTCTAAATAAGCCTTGCACGAGAGTCATGTTGTTGCTGTTTTTGTGCGGATTTTAGCAACTGGTCTATTCAATGTGCTTATATTACCCTCTTTGTTTTGCCTTCTAAGCTTTCTTACTGTTCTTTAAATATCTTCTAATTAATTTTTCAAAAAGTGTAATATGCTTTTTCATGCCTAGGTAAGGTGTTATGTATGTAAATATCGTAGCATAGCTATGAGATATCTAAATACATAGGAATTGAGTGGTGTGTATGTAAATCTTTGTGTGAAAAATAATTCCAATGCCCATATTTTTTTATAAAGCAAACAATCGAAGCTGATCTGCCCCATAATTTTTTTTAAAATTTATAACAATTCTATAGACTAACAAAATATTTTAATAAGTCGTCACGTTAGCGGCGACTCTGCATTGACGTGGACTTTGACAATTCTCAAGAAAAAATTTTCCCACGTAGTGAAATTTTTGTTGTTGTTGTTGTTGATTTTGTGTCCATTAAAAAAAAAAGTTTTTTTCATTTTAAAAATTTCTTCTTGTTATAATTGACACATATAAACTAAATTACCGTAATCTCTTTAGTCGATTAAGGTGGTGTAGGTTGAGCTCATTAGCGATTTGTGTTTGAGACAGCTTGACTCACTTCCAAGACTGCCCAGTCCCACCCATTCCTCCCTTTCCCCAACTTCAAGTTGATCGGTCTGAAGAGTCAATCGAAGACATTGAGAGATTCTTTAATCTCTTGCTGCTCGCTTGGATGGACAATGAGATTGAAGTGAAATAGACAAATATATATATATATGAATGTATAGTTGTAGCATATATATGTATGAATGTATAGTTGTAGAATAGAATATAGAATATTAAAATAAAATGAACTTAAAAATAAATAAAGAAAAGTTAAACCCGTTGGGAAGATTCTGCCGTATTAAAGCTATTTCTGTAGTCAGGGTTGAAAGAAAATTTAAGAAAAAAAATCTGTAAGAAATTATAAGTTTGTTGAACATCACGTAATTCATAAATCTTTTATATTCTTGCGACATTTCCTTGGAAGTCATGCGGTTTTTTTGGAATAGAAAGAAGGATTGTACCTCAGTAATGGAAAACTGAAAAGAACTGAACAATACATGGAAGAAGCTGGACTCTTTAAAAAAAAAACAAAGACCCTTAAGCTTGTATAGATTGTTTTAATGGTGCCTTAGTAAATAGTCTAATACTTCAAAAACAGAGAAAAAACATGATTTCATAATGATGCATTAGTTGAGCCTTGGGCTGTTGGTTAGCGGGGTTCTCTGTTAGTCCCCTCAGGTCTACGGGTGTAAATGAGTCGAACGGGAGCAAGCCCAGTTCAGCTCGTGTTCGGCTCGTTTATATTTCAAGTTCAAAAAGTGTGTTCGTGTTAGACTCGTTTGGTTAACGAGCCGAACACGAGCAATTCATGAACAAAGCGTTGTTTTGACAATCTTAATCACACAGCTATAAGATGTTAGGAGTTAGGGCAACATTTAAAAAATATTGTTTATAATAAAACATCATTTAAACCTAATTTAATAATTTTTTATTTTATTTTCTTAATTAATACTTTTAATTGATTATAAATCTTTATAACCTTGTAATCAATTAAAATTTTTAAAAATACTATATATATATATATATATATATAATTGATGAGTAGTATTTCGAGTCAAAACGAGCCGAACACAAACAAATAAAACTTTGTTCATGTCCGATAAGAAATCGGTATTTGAGTCTTTGCGAAATACCGATAACATAGTTATGTGTTTATATAAACACACATGTAGTTTAAGAAACATAATAATTATAATTCTGAGAAACTTTCTGTAGCAGACGTGCGCTTTTTGTAGGGGAAGGCTGAAAAGCTTAAACAATATAAATTAATAAAATTTGAACTCGGGTCGAAAATGGGAAGCGGCGGGCACTGCCAGCTCCGCTGCAGTGTTTCTGCCTCAACAGAAGCTCCGGCCCACGTGAAAGCAGAAATGTGCAGTTTTTTGTTTTGTTTCTTCTCCTTTTTGGTTGGTTCAAATTTTTCATCTTTCCACTTTCTCATAGAACATCAAATTTTTAAATAAATCGACCTTCTAAAAAGAAATTATTAGGAATTCCACCCCATATAGCCTGTATCATTTATGCTAAATTTTTCTAAGAAGAACATATAACAACCAGTAGTTCACTTCTTCTAATCCTCATGGCATTACAAGCTGGTAAATGGAGTTTACGCATACTCGATCTAACTGCAGAAATGCATATAGTTTGCTTCTTCGACTCCATCGCCGGATTTTTACACCTAAAACAATAGAAAAAAAGTTTCTACATATTCTACCGCTTTATACATTCATGAGAAGGATCCCATCCGTGATCATCATCAAAAATCAAAACCATGATAAACCAAGCCTAACCAAATTTGTAAAAAAAAAAAAATCCTAGCGAAAAGCTTAGGCGAAGACTAAACTCACGACTGAACACCAAGATGGCCAAGAAGTAGCAGTGGTTGTAGACGACGCTCCATTGTCTGGCGCAGAATCGCTACCTGCTCCGCAGAGACTACGCAAAAGCCTTTCTTATAAAGAATGTCCTGAATCTTCGCTGAGGTAACCATCACCTGAAGCAGCTGAGGCCGAGTGAGACGCTCGAGGCCAAAAGCCTTCCCCGGCGGGACGGAAGACGGCATAAACCTGGACGCCACCGGCATTGTCTCAAGAGCCGTCACTTGGGCCTCGAGGAACTTGACATATTTACACGCTTCTTCCAGCATCGTCCCTGTGTCCAGCCGCCGCTCCCACGGCATTAACTTCTCAAGGATTCGCGTCCGCTCGCTGACAATCTGCCTTCGTTGTCGGGATCTCTCCGTAGAGCGCGCAGACTGCGTTTGACGAACTTTTTTTCCGGAATCCAACTGCTGCTGATTCAGTACCGACTGTTGCAGCGGAGGGCATCGCCAGTATTGTGAATACAGACGCGATCTCTTATGAGGCGCGGATGATTGGATTAGCGAGATATGCTCGACAGATTGACAATGAGTTGCGTTGGAAACGAACCTCTCCATGGCAGGATCCTGGAATGGCTCCAAGGACAGAAGATTTGGAAGTTGGATGAAACCTTGTGAATCAATCTTGAATGAAGTCGCTGCTGGAATCAACGTTCTGCTTGCCGGATCCATCTGTTCGATCATCATGAACGGATGAAATGAGATATCACTCGCTGGAAAACTGACGGTGGAAGCGGTTCCTGTTTGATCCGGCAGTAGTGACGGGAAGGGAACAAAACCCCCGTAGTCTACTTCATTTCGAGAGGGGCAATCGTTAAAAGTAATCGGCGTAGAAAGTGATGGCGAGACGAGAATCCTAGTTCTGTAAGAACTCTCCATTTCGCCTTCGAAGAAGCTCAACCCTAAACCTAAAGTATGAGAAAATAAGGCAAACCACTCGAGAAACACAAGCCGAGCGAGCGAGCGTATGGCTCTTATATCAGCGATCTCGAAGACCAAGTGATACATGGTGAAAAACGATTGGTGATTTACCGTGTGCGGAATCCCAGTCTTCGTAGCGATTCGCACGGGCGGCGATGGAGGCGGCCGCGCCGCACGATCCGGTATGATTACATTATTGCAACGCACCGGTTTCCACCGGCACGTGACTATCAAGCTGTTACTTGAGCTTCGTAAGATCTCGACCATAAGTTGAAACGCCCGGATATCATCTAACGGCTGTAAATAGCTAGTTTCTGACAAGTTTGCCTGGCGTGGTTCTGTCACGTGCCTACCGTTGCCATTGTCTCCCTATTGAAGCCTGTTATTAACCAAATCACAGAAACGCCCTTTTAAAGAGTCGGTTACAAAATGGCATTTGTGCAGATAAGTCGAAATAGATTTGACGTTTTGTGAGCGGTTTTGTCGTGACGTCCAACGAGAAAGTACTAATTTCTTAGCCCTACGAATAATCGGACGATAATTTCCATATAATGACTAAATTGCCCCCAAATAGGTTTATCTCTAAAGGAGAAATCGCCAGTTATTACGTAAGAAATTATGGGCATTTGTTTCAGTATTTTATTTTGATTTTTTATTTTTTTTTTTTAATTTGCCGATCATAGCAGCTATTTGGAGGACAGTGGCAGAATACTATTGTTTTTTCTAAAATTAGAAAAAGATATTAAAATATAACATTTTGTTTAAATCCCATCCCATTCTTATGTATTTACAAATCTAACAAAATCATATAAAAATATAACTATATTATTACTTAAAAAGATTAATATACTGTTTCATGCATAAATCATTTATGTGAATTCAACTCTATTTTGAAGCATTTTCCTTTATGGTATATAGGGCTGTCAAAACGGCTCGTTGTTCGCAAACAGCTTGTGCTCGGCTCGTTAAGAAGCTCGTGTTCGGCTCGCTCGTTCGCTAAGTTAACGAGCCGAACACGAACAACACGAATAAATTTTTGTTCGTTCGTGTTCGGCTCGTTTTGCTGGAAATACTATTAATCAATTATATATATATATATCTTTGATGAGTAGTATTTTTAAAAAATTTAATTGACTATAAGACTACAAGGATTTATAATCAATTAAAAGTATTAATAAAAAATAGAAAATAAAAAATATTAAATTAAATTCAAATGAAGTTTTAATATAAACAATAATTTTTAAATCTTGCCACAATCCTTAACATCTTATAACTACGTGATTAGGGTTGTCAAAATGAAGCTTTCACACATTTTTAGCTCGAAATATAAACGAGCCGAACACAAGCTAAGCCTGGGCTCGCTTGTGTTCGGCTTGTTTACACCCCTAGTGGTATATATTGTGATTTGTCTTTTTCGAAAATGCGACGTACGGTATATTGAAAGGCATGGGTATCTGATGCGTCCGAGTATAATATAGATATAGATATATATATCTGATGTTGCCGTTCCAAAAAATTTTTTATGGCAGGGTGTATAATTTAATAATTTTGAAAACCATTTGCCTTTTTCATAAAAAATAATTTTTCTTTGAGTGAGTGACTTTTGAGCTACTTTGAGCAAATTGTTCTCTTGAAAATAGTGAACTATTTTAAAAGTATGTATTCTTCCATATATAAATACATATGAATTAGATGGTATGTTTGTAAATCTTTCATTTTTGTAAGTTTTTTTTTTTCCTTTTTTATTACTATTTGAAACGAAAAATATTACTTCAGAAAATTATTTAAGAAAATGTTACTTTTATTGATAATATTAGTAAATATTTTGTCATTATTAATATTCATTTTTTTTAATTGGGAATTCTTAAAAACATGAGCTGAATTTTACTAATCATTAAATCTTATTAAAAAGTAAGTGTTTTATATATTTTTATTACAAATAAATAATTGAGTTAATCAAAATAAATAAAAAATTTGTAATAAAAAATTTTGCTCTTATCTCATTTATGTTCTTATCACTCATTTTCTGGGGGGAAAAGAGGACCGCACCTAACTTTATTCAACAACACCAAAATACAACTTCACACAAACAAAAGGATTGAAACAACAATAAAACATATAAATCATCTTAAAGATGATCAAATGCTTACTGCAATCACTCAAATTTAATATCAAGCAACAAATAAAAGAAATATGACTGATAAGAGATCCACAAAAAAATAAGGAAGTGTCCAGTCTCCAATCCACATAACCAGTAACCATTAAAAACCTACAAGACCCTCACAAATATTCTTTCTAACCAGCATCCAGAAGAAAAAATCATCCAATTTTTCTAAATCAACTCTCTTCATGAAAACAAAAACCGTAAAGAATTGGTAAACATCTAGTTCAAAAAACAACTCCAAAAGAAATTCAAGTAACTACAAAAAAGCCCAATGATCCTTCACAATCCAAATGATCGATGAAGCAGACATCAGCATCACCATTCCCTCATAATCTAAAACCTACAACAACTTAAGCAAGGAAATAAGAGAAGAAGACAACTAAAAGAAAAAAATAAGACAACCCACTCCAATGATTCAACAATCAACAGTTAAAACCAAAGAGATAATAATTGAAAATCTAGGAGCCTGAGTTAACCCAACAACTAAACAAAGAAACTCCATCTATACACATAAGAGAATGTAACAAAAATCCACCAAAAACTTCTTTAAATGGTTGAATTTTAAGATTCCATCAAAATTCAAAGAATTAATAGACAGAACAAAGATAAAAATATTCTCAAATGAGCTATTAAATCTTCAAGTGAAGACTTGGCATACCATAACTCACAACATTAACAAACCTCAATAGAAAAAAAATTAAGAATAGAAGTGAAGTATCTGAATTAATAAGTGCAAATCTAAATGAGAAAATAAAACCAAAAGATAAAAAAGAACTAAAAAAGCTAAAAAAATAAAAAAAAATCAAGGAAATTATAACTATAAAAATTTATAATACGATTTTTATCAACATTATTGAACTTCCACCTTTTACTTTTAAGTTTAATCAACCAATTTTTATTCTTAATAATAATTTCAATGAGAATAAAGGCTACTAAATATCTTATTATTCCTTTCCAGATCCAATTTGAAAGGCAATAGCTTGAACAACAAGAAGAAAAAATGTAGAGTTGTAGCTAAAATTATCAGCATGATAAAAGACATGAAAATATTGTTAACACCTAAAAAGAAGTCTCCAGTAGGTATGCAATTTCATAGAAGATTGTGAGAGAAGAAACATTATAAGAAAAAGTGATTATGTGTCTCCAAACTATTATAACAAAGCACGCAAGTAAGATGAACATAAATGTATCTTGCATTAAGAACATCAATAGTCTTAAGACCCTCATGAATGAACCTCAAAGTATGAAAAACAATTGTGATGGAATAACATTTAAAGATAACTAACATATTACAATCTTTTATAAGAAAATTATCATAAATGAAATGATAAGTAAATTCAATAAAAAAGCCTCTCCAAAAACAACTAATATTGTCATCTAAACTAAAAATACTATGAATTTAATAATGCAATTCATATGAATATTCCAACTTTGAGTAGAATACCAATCAACATTAAAAAAACTCATTCTGTTTAATATATTTTAGAAATTTAAACCAACTAATTAAAAATAGGATTCTAAAAAATTTTAAATAGAGGAGTCATTCCACCAATGGTAAAAAAGAATAGAAAATTACTATTACAGCTCACTTGGAATGAGAGGCCTCTCCTAATATTGAAAGCCACCTTCAATCATAAGGTCTTTTCAAAACAAGGAAACATGAGAATCAGAATTGAACCAAATAGAGACATAGTAAGCAATGCACCAAATTATTAAAAAAAGATTTAGAGTTGAACTATCTCTGAATAATAATAGCCTTCAAATGAGATTATTGTTACTAAAGAAGGAATACTAAGACCCCCACAAACATTAGGCAAAATAACCACATTCCAAGTTATATGATTAATTTTTTTATTAGCACTATTATAAAGCAAAATATGCTGATCATAGAAGAAAATTTTCGTTCTAAGATCTTTGGACAACGAAATAGATTTTGACTAATAATAAAGATAACTTCAAGCTGTATATTTAATAAGTTAGAATATATTAGCATAAGATAAAATCGTTTGCTTCCAACTAGCTAACCAACTATTAAATTTATCAATGGGGTTATGACAATTGACATTATTAATTTTGGAATGTTTAATAGTAATGCCAAGGCAAGTCCAAGGTAAAGCCTTAATAGTATAATCATTGTTATCACATAAGCATTTTTGAAAAGAAGGCTCAACATATTCTAAAAAGAAAATTACAGATTTAGAAAAAGTAACAATCAAGTTAGGAGCTTGACTAAAGATATTGAAAGAATTAATCATATTATGTATATAAGTATTCTCAATGTTAACAAAAATTAAAAAATCATCAAGATAATTTAAATGTAAAACATAAGAAGCCTCTTATTGAATAATAATCCTATTTAGTATATCCACTGAGAAGAGAAAGTATCCATCTCAATACTAAACAAATAAGGTGAAAGAAACCCACCCCGTCACAATCCAGAGGAAGAAAAAAATAACCATTTAATTCACCATTAAAAATGATAGAAAAATTCACATCAATAATACAAGCTTGGATCCACTTAAAAAAATAGTATGAAAGCCCCATTTTTCATTCTATCATAAAGAAAATCTCTGCTAACATCATCAAAAGCATTCACTAAATCATTTTTATCAAAAAAAATTTTGAAAGAATTACAAGATTTAAACTCAAATAATAACTTATTAACCAGAATAACATTATCAAGAATATCATGACTCTTAGCTGCTTGAGCAGGGTTGATGATATTACCAAGAACATTCTTAAGTCTATCAACAATAAAATTAGAAATAACCAGTGTTACAAAAAAGATATGATGAAATTCATTAAGAAATTGAGCCCCATGTTTTCTGGAATTATAGTG